TCTTTGAGTTTCTATTTCATCATACTTGATCTATGACTCCTCTAAAAGTGATTGTCGATGAGACTTTTATTTTTCAAAGTTATGGTACCTCTATTTAGATGAGCCTTTTATTTTTCAAAGTTGTTGAGCCTCTATTTAGAATAGCTTTATTTTTTTAAAAGTCGTTGAGCTTCTGTTTAGATGAATTTTTATGTTATACAAGGAGTCTATGTCGAGTTGATTGGGTTGTCTACGTCTTTGCACAATTCATGTTTCATAGAAAATGCACAAAGAGGGGCAACTGTAGACACTCCAATTTATTTGGGGTTCTACTTGAGTTAATTTTGTTAATAAAAAATGAAAAAATAGGTAGTTGAGTTTATGTGAAATTGTTGAAACTCGTTTGTAAAGTTGAAGTTGGGTTGAAGGTTGGAATTCAATGGAAATTGAGATTCCTTTATGGATTGGAGTTATCATATTTAGAACCCTATAAATATATGCCCATACAGATCACACAAATATACATAAAAAAATCAGAGAGAGGCAGATATCAAAAAAAGCGATCAAAAAAATTTTTTGAAGATTTTTTTTGGTTTGAAAAAAAAAGAATTTTTTTTTTGAAAAAAATCTAAAAATTCCCAGATTCTAACAACTTTTTACCAATCTTTGCCTCTAAGCTAAGTCGTTGAGCGACTTTCTGTGTCTGAAGCCAAGCTACATCGAGCCGCTCCAATTGAGCCATTTTGTTTTTTTGTTTTTGGTATTTTTTAGTATTTTTGCATGATTAAATTTAGAAAAAAAAATAAAAAATAAAATATTTTTTGAGAATAAGTATTAGTTATCCAATGATGAAATTTATAGAAATTTTAAATAGTAAATTTTTATAAAATTCCTAGGTGAGGAATTTTGTTTAAATTTATCCCAAATGGTGGAATAATTTAGATAAAATTTCAATAACAATAATTAATATTTATTTTCAAACAAAAAAATAAAAAATAAAAAAAAAATCTTTGGTTGAAACTATTTGATAATTATCCAAGGATGTAAATTTTAAAAATTTCAAATGGTAAATTCCTAAGATATCTCTATGTAAGAAATTTCTTTAAATTTGTCCCAAATTGTGGAAGAATTTAAATGAAATTTCAATAAAAAATAATTGTCATATTATTTTCTTTCTAAAAAAAATTTCTAAATAGACCCAAATGGTGAAAAATTTAGAAATCCAATAAAAAATAAAAATAAAAATAATGAAAGAGAGAATTTCTAAATAGGCCCAAAAGGTGAAAAATTTAGAAATTCAAAAAATAAATATTTGTAATTTGGCCCAAATGGTGGAATAATTAGATATATTTTTTATAAAAACCAAATAAAAAAATATTTTTGACGATGAAGCCTCTTAACGAAAAAAAATAAGATCCTTGAATACTTTCGAGGTGAGAAAATATTTTTAAAAATTCTATCAGATTGATGAAAGAATTTTTTTTTAATTATTTATAATATTTAACATAAAAATTAAGACCATTAGAATCAAGACCTTATGATAAATTTAAAATAATATAGTATCATTCTTCAGATGGGCAGTAGGGTTGCTATAACCTTCTCCATATGTAACCGAACTCTCAAACCTTGTTCTGGTTTGTAGACTCGAACCTATTTTTTTAGGGACCCTTAATCAAGCTTAGAAGCTCCTTAAGAGGATAGATTCTTTAGATGACCAATCACACTTAAAAAAAAAAAGATTGATGGTGACTTCTTTTGTTAAATATAACTGTAAATTTTCAAATTTATATGTTATGACATTAAGTCATCTTGCTAATTAAACAATGCATTGACATGTCTATTAACAAGTAGAATCCAATATTCAAATAACATAGTATGCTAGGACATTTATACGTGTAGAAAAACTGAAAACAATTACATATATTGAAGTTGCCCATGGCATCACAGTTTGAGACGGTTCTTGATGTTGGTTTTGGTATCTCCTCATATATAGCAAACTGGATGGATAAATTTTTTTTTTCATAGATTTGATTGAAGGATGGTAGTCCATAGCAAGCCTTGGGCCCTTTATAAGCCTTGTACACATAGTTTTCATAGTCCTACAACCAGAGATATAACATTCTTTTTATTGAATACCCTCAATATTGACATTGCTCAAAATCACACGTTTGAGTAATGAACAAGTAATTAGGATCATCTATTGTCCGAGCCGGGAGCAATAAAATGAAGCTGGTGTAGAGTGTAAACTTCAATCCATCTGATACTCAAGGGAACAAACCTCATAAAGTGGCTGACCGTCCACAACAACTCAAGGTACATATTTATGAGGAGGTTTCAAGGTCACTAGTTTCGGTCGCATATTTTACTTCAAGAATTCCTTATTAAGCATTCATTTTTAATTGCATCATAGAATAAAGTTTTGGTATTACAAAACAACGAAAAGAGGTGAAAAAACATAAAAAATAAATAAAGTCAAATATTTAAAGCTAAATGGCTGACTAGACCTTTTGTAGATATGTTACTATTGGAGATGAACCATTTCTCGTAAGTCATGGTGAACAGTTTCACCCCTTAATTTGTCATTGGAGGAGCCATGTGTTGAAAATATTGACTCAAATCCCATAAGAGATTTGTTTGAGATTAGTTTGAGATTTGTTATATATTGCTTGATGGACAAGAAGACTTGCAAAAGAAGAGTTTTAAGAGAAAGAGGATTCTTAATAGGTAAGTTTGACTTGCAAGAGAATAATTCTAAAAGGAAATGGATTCTTAATAGGCAAGTTTGACTTACAGGAGAAGAATTCTAAGAGGAGAGAGATTCTTAATGGGCAAGTTTGTATGATTATAAATAGGTGAAGTCTCTGCAGAGTTAGGTATGAGAAAAATATGTAAAAAAGTTGTAAGATTTTGTGGGATAGACACCCCATAGGAGTATTGGGACTGTACGTCTTATGGGTGTGTATGTTTGTTTGTGAGTGGACTAGAGGAGACTGAGAGGGTCCACATAGGTATGATGTATGGGAACATATGGGTATGTGCTTGGTTATGTTGAAATGGTGCACAAGGGTTTGGGTTTGTATTTGTTTGGGTTGAGAATACTCCATAAGATTAGAAAGATTGAGAGTGTCTTATGAGTATTGATTGTTGAGTGAGGTTGATGATTTGATGTAAGTTTATAATTCTTTACAACTAGTAGATCTTGTTTCTCATCCATGGATGTAGGTTGATTGGATCGAATCACGTTAAATTATTATCTCTTGTGTGTTTGATTTATTATTTGATTTCGCTTCCGTTGGTGTGATTGGATTGAAGGCTTTTAGCCTAACAAATGGTATTAGAGCTGTGGTGATTTCTCTAACAAGTGGTATTAGAGCTGAAAGTTTGAAACGTGGGAAGAGTCAAAGGTTTGAGATGTGGGAATAGCTGATGGTTCGGGACATGGGAAAAGTTGATAGTTCGAGATATAGGAAGAGTTTGGTTTGAGACATGAGAAGAAGTAAGCTTAGAGGAGCTCAATTCAAGAGAAGAGTTCGAGTTCAAGTTTTGAGGATTGAAGATCAGTTTATATAAAGCGTGAAGACACATAAGAGAAAATGATTGTGAGACTTTTATTGCAGGTGGAGCCAAGCATATCTAGCATGAAGATAGATGATTGATGAAATTTGAGTCAAGGTGGAGATTGTTGGGAATATTGACTCAAATCCCATAAAAGATTTGTTTGAAATTTGTTTGAGATTTATTTGAGATTTATTAGATATTGCTTGATGGACAATAAGACTTGCAAAAGAAGAATTCTAAGAGAAATGAGATTCTTAATGGGAAAGTTTAACTTGCAAGAGAAGAATTCTAATAGATTCTTAATAGGTAAGTTTAACTTACAAGAGAAGAATTTTAAAAGGAGAGAGATTCTTAATGGGCAAGTTTGTATGATTATAAATAGGTAAAGTCTCTACAAGGTTAGGTATGAGAAAAAATGTAAGAGAATTGTAAGGTTTTGTGGGATAGATACCCCATAGGAGTATTGGGACTGTACGTCTTATGAGTGTGTATGTTTGTTAGTGGATTAGAGGAGATTAAGAGGGTCCACATAAGTATGATGTATGGGAACATATGGGTATGTGTTTGGTTATGTTGAAAGGGTGCACAAAGGTTTGGGTTTGTGTTTGTTTGGGTTGAGAATACTCTATAGGATTAGAGGAGATTAAGAGTGTCTTATGAGTATTGATTGTTGAGTGAGGTTGATGATTTGATGTAAGTTTGTAATTCTCTACAACTAGTGAATCTTGTTTCTCATCCGTGAATGTAGGTTCATTGGATTGAACCACGTTAAATTGTTGTCTCTTGTGTGTTTGATTTATTATTTGATTTCGCTTTCGTCGGTGTGATTGGATTGGAGTCTTTTAGCCCAACACCATAAACATCCAAGTAGCTTTAACAAAAGCAAACTTGGCGAGAGAAGTGAAAGTTGTTGTTCCAAGTAGTTTTGGTACCTTTGTATCAGAGTCCAGCCTACCTTCAAAAGAACACTTCAGAACTGACCTTTCTCTGCAAGCATCATTCCTCTTTCTAATTTGTGACTATTTCTCCATTTATAAGTTTCCAACAGAACAAGAACATATCCATTAACTTTACTCTTTTCAAAGAAAATGTAAGTCCCCATGATGACAGCCATAGAACACACAAAAGCAGTTGACATCAGAGACTGGATCAATGAAAATGCCCTTTTTTTAGCTGTTATTCTCTTCATAAGTATGCAATTCTTTCATGTCGGATTTTCCAGGTGCACGAAAAGTGTAAACAAAATTTATAATTCCCTGAATTCATTAGCCACTGCTTTTTTTTTTTTTGAAGCGCTAATCCACTGCTTATGAAATGTAAAATAAGCTAATTTTTTTATCCCAAACCAAACGGCCCAAATCTGACCGGGATTGGTCTAATTTAATGGGCCTCAAAAGTAAACAATCAAAGTCAAGCCTTCTAAAATCTGGATCGTGATAGTGTTGGCCCACCATTTTTCCACGCATAAGTCAGAATCGTAATCGTTTGATCAAGGATTCCCATGCGAGTGACTCACCGCACAGATAGAAACAAGGGGAAACGAAACTAGTCCCGAGTTTGATTAGGAAAAAGAAAAAGAAAAAGAAAATCTCGTCTTTATATTTAAAATCCCCTCGTATGCATCGGACAGTATTTATTACGCCCTAATCTCTCCCTATAGAAGAGGAATAAGAAAACAAACGACGCCCTAGATACATCGTTAAAAGGATGTACGGTCAAGACGGAGGCGAAGCTGCTTCGCCATTATATGGCGGTGCTGGAGGCTATAGTGGAGGAGGAGGTGGTGGCGGAGGCGGCTATGGGAGTTATGGAGGGGATAGTGGTTTTGGTGTACGTGGCGGCGGTGGACGTGGTGGTCACGGAGGCCGCGGTGGCGGCAGAGGAGGAGGTGGAGGATATGGTGGAAGTTCTCAAAATCGAGGTATCTTTTTTTGTATAGATTTGTGGGTTATTGTTGTTGACTTTAGTTTTCTCACAGTTGTCTTACTGGTTTTTTCAAGATTGATCATCTTTTTAACTTCGCTCTTATTTTCAATAAATCGGATCTGTATTCTGCAGGAGGTGGTGGAGGCTATCAAGGAGGAGACCGTGGTGGAAGAGGCGGTGGTGGAAGAGGTGGTGGCCGTGGTGGAGGCGGCAGAGATGGTGATTGGCTTTGCCCGAACCCCAGGTAAATTATCTTTTCTCTGCTTTTGATTTGCTATTGAGGGAGGTTTTACCCACTGTTACAAATTTTGTACGGTTAATCAGTCTTAAACATGTAAGATTTGGCTTGCTGAAATTTCACTTACTGTTAGTTGTCTGGTTTTCTGTAATTTAAACTGTTATATGTCTATGTAGCTGTGGGAACCTGAACTTTGCAAGAAGAGTTGAGTGTAACAAATGCGGTGCACCCTCTCCTGCGGGTGCTGGTGATCGTGGTAGTGGTGGTGGTGGTGGTGGTTTATAACAGAGGAGGTAGTGGTGGAGGATATGGTGGTAATCGTGGAGGTAGAGGAGATGGGAGTAGAGGTGGTTATGATAGCGGGAGAAATAACAACTATGATGAAGGTAGAGGTGGAAATTATGATAATAGAAGTGGTGGTAGCAGAGGTGGTTCTTATGGTGGTAATCAAGGGGGAGAAGATGGTGGATATGGTCAAGTTCCTCCCCCAGCTCCCCATTCCTATGGTAGTACTGCTGCTGGAAACTATCCACCTGCTCCTAATGCATATGGTGGGAATGCAAATTATGGAATGGATGCAGTTCCTCCACCTACAAGCTATGCTGGTGGACCTACTTCATTCCCTCCATCTTATGGTGGCCCTGCAGGTGTTTATGGTGGTGAGGGTTTGAATAATATAAGGACTGGTGGTCGGGGTGGACCTCCCGGTGGATATGATGGTGGGTTTGGGTCTGGTGGTCCTCGACATCAGGGAGGTGGTTATGGTGGTCCTCCTGTTGATGCATCAGTTAAGATCAAGCAGTGCGACGGCAACTGTGGAGATTCTTGTGACAACTCAAGAATATACATGTCAAATTTGCCACCTGATGTTACTACCGAAGAATTAAGAGAGCTTTTTGGTGGCATTGGACAAGTAATGGCCAAATCTTATCTTTTGAATCAATGTGCTCTCTAATGGGAATTATGTCATCTACTTTGTACTGGTGTTTCTGTTTTATTTCTGGAGTGGGTATCAGTTGGTTTATGATAATGGTTCTTTGAAATTTATTTTATTCCCTAGTTCTATGTTTTGATGGAGTTAGGAATGTTTTTACGAATGGGGCTCTATTGACAAGTGATGCTTTTATTTTGTATGAATTTTCGGTATCCTCACTGGTATTCTAACAGTTGACTTCTTGTTTAGGTTGGAAGAGTTAAGCAGAAGCGTGGCTATAAAGATCAGTGGCCATGGAATATTAAAATATACACAGATGAGAAAGGAAACCAGAAAGGCGATGCAGTTTTGTCTTATGAAGATCCTCAGGCTGCTCACTCTGCTGGCGGTTTCTTTAATAGTAATTATCTACAATCTTTCTTAATTTAGTATGTTGCCTTCAATATTTCTCCTCATACATATGGAATCTTTTCTCTCAGATCATGTCATGAGAGGCTTTACAATCAGCGTGGCTATGGCAGAGAAGACTGCACCTAAAGTATATGATCATGGGTATCATTTTAACCCTTGGGTTATCTTTCTATTTGTAACATGTTTCATTTTGATGCTTTTTCCTGACAGGAACTGACCCATATGTTCCTTTGGGCTTTTCTTTGGATTGATTTCATCTATAGTGCAATTAAATGCTTTGTTGCAACATGTAATTTATGAAGATATGATGTGTATATAACATTTTTTCTCAGGTTGTATTAAATATTGCCATGTTGAATTCCTGCTTATAAGATTTTGCTTGCTTTAATCATTTTGAAACCTAATTCTTAAATGATTATCTCTAGTTAATGTTCAATAGACAAGAGATTATGGCTTTGCTGGTCTTGTCTTTGAAAATTTTTGTATGGTGTGCTTATGATAGCGTTAGATTCCCACTTATGCTTTTTACCATGGAAGTAAACAATAGAAGTTACCTGAAACTATTTCTCCCTTATTGTTTTATACTTAGTAAAATTGTTTTTTGGTTAAACAAAAATTTGCTTTTGTTGAAGCTGCATTATTGACTGTTTTGTTATGTGACAGAGGTGGTAAAGGTGGCTATGGAGGTGGTGGGGACAGGCGCAGGGATAATTATAGAGATGGAGGTACTGGGCCAGATAGGCATCACTCTGGCGGAAACCGTTCACGCCCATACTGAGAGACTTTCAGCTTCTGAGTATTCTGTGTACTGAGAATTATGATCTAAGGGTTGTAGTTGTGTCCCATTCATGGGTTTTTCTTGAACAGGAGACTAAGAGGTAGGTTGTTCACTTGTTTGGGCAATACCCCTTTTTCTCCTTCCTCCTTTGTCTTCTGTTAGCTGGAGGGGCTTTTTATTCTAGGCGTCAGATTGATTGGGTTTATGTGAATCTTTTTATAGAGGCAAGTGGATTAACCCCAAATTGCTTGCTGCTAAGGTAGGTTGATAATGTCAGGTGAGTGCTGCTCTTTCAGATTTACCCTTTTGTTTGTGAATTAACCTTTGTTGGTGGATTTGATTTCGTTGCCTGTCTCCTCATCATTCAATGTGGTGGAGCAAGCTTGTGAATTACACGCATGCATGGGTACCCTTTATATTGAACAATGTGTTTGCTTGTAGAGGTGATGTGCTTTAGCATCCCATGCTAGAAACTAGATGCTATAAGTGACTGTCAAAGTTGTTACTTTTGAAATCTCAAACTCATTAATCTGTTGGACAATTAAAGAATTTAGATTTGGATCCTTAAATGGCAGCATATCTACCCGAAACTTTAAAAATATTAAGGTCCTATGCTCTAATGCCGACAAATTGGTTTGGTATTACTGTATAAATAGTTGATTTACTAAATGGTTGGGTATGGTAAGTGGTTAAAAATGGCTTCTGGTGTGGTGAGGCTGCTGTCACATTCCTCAAGTACGAGAATAGAGTCGCGGAATAATGGCTGGAGAGTTGTTTAGAGTTCGCGACGCTTCATGATTTGGTTGTAGCTGTGTGCTGAAGGATTATGTCGTCTTCATGTTGCTCTGTTCGTATTTCCAAAGAGTAATGTGGGTAGATGTTTCATCTATTTGTAGGGCCTATAGTTATTTGATTTACCACTTGAGCAATTGACTGTTCTGGTTTTTTTTTTTTTTTGTTGGTATCTGTATTCTTCGAAGAAAAATTATCTTAAATCTTTCTTAATGGCTGCTTTTAGTTCCATGGCTTTGTCGTGCGACATGTTTCAATGTTATTAAGTGTTTTGTTTTTTTTTTGGTTAATTATATACAAGGTGATACCAACGTTGAGGCAAACGTTAATTCAAATGTATCATTAATTGGTTTCACTTCCCAGATCGATATTAAGATGAGCGAAAATCTGCTTTCCCTGGAAATTTTCTTTTTGGGAATCAATAATATATAAATGGTATAACACAATTTTCCAGCTGCAAAAGAAATACAGCCATTCGCGCTTTCGGTTTAAAAAATTGCTCTAGTAATTCGTGTTTTTAGGATTTTATGTACAATTTTAAAATGCCTATAGACGAACCACTTGGTTTTGAGGAGGGACATTAGAAATTGCCCCCGATACAAATTGTAGACAACTACAAGTTTGATTCTCATAAGGTGTTATGGGATAGAACACTGGACATCGATGCAGGCATAAATTGTGGACCAGCATCAGCCTGAAATTATGTAATTAAGCATTTCTCAGTGAGGACCTGTTTTAAACCATGGAAGAAGATAGGTAGTAGTAAAAATCATTAATCAAGAGATACAAGAAAAGGTTATCCACATTTCTAGACATAAGTTAAAACTCATATTCACTTTTTTTTTTTTGGGTAGATAGATTGTTCAGCTTAAGATAGATGATTGTAGATTGTGCATTTAAAATTACTCCAACAAATGATTACCAACAGGAATAAAACCCAAGAGCTCTTCTTTGAAGAAGACAAACCTAATCAATTTAAACCAACCACTTGTTGGTTACTTTCTTTTAATTAAATTTCATTGCCTCTACCATCTCCATCTAATAATGGATCGAGTCTAAAACTGAAAATTGGAAACAAGACATAACATTTGCAAAGACATACCTGACGCGTGGAGTTCCTATCAAGGTGCGAATTTCCTCCATACTGGCGTCAATATTTCCATAGTTTCCATTATATGTGGTGTCTAAATGAAAATAATAGAAAAAGGTCAAGAATTGATCCGACGATGTTAAGATTATGCTTGGCGGTATAAGAGGAGATCATTACTTGGGTTTGCTGCTGCTACTCTCTTCTCTGCATTAGCGTATTCTGCATGTAGGTTTTCTATTTCCCGAGCCACAATGATTATATTCTTGTCCAACATCTGACGTTGTTCAAGGTTACTAGCACGTGTCTTCTTTTCATGTTTAATAGCAGTCCTACTCACAGGCAACAACATATTTTTTCAGGTAACAAGCTATATCCTGGTCTCATCTCTATCTCTTGCATCAACTGCATCTACATGCAAATACTCGATGAAAGTATTTTTACCAACTTCCCGCTACGCTGTCATCTTATGCTTTTAACTTTCTATATCAGATAAAGCTTCTCATTGACCCACATTAACTATGTGTACTAAAATAAATAACACCAACAGTTTGAGTGAATCCAAATTCAGAACTCTAAAAATGACTCAAATGAGATCAAGAGATGGCTATATGAAAATCTATTGCCATTCTTGACAAAGCCATCAGTTACAAACACTACATTTTCAGATCATCCTAAACTGAGAACCTTAAACCTTTTACATGATGATCTTCAAAGCAGGGGACCAGGGTGGTAAAACCATAAACTCATCCTCACCCATGAATCATGATAGAAGTTACTTAGAGTTTAGGGCTAAAAATCCCTCATTCCCAGTAAATCCCAAATCTCAACACACTTTGAAGGCCACTTATATCTAATCTAATACTAGTAATTTCAATACTGATGAAAGATAATTTCAATCTTGAATTTGTTCATAACCAAAGAAATGCGTATGTTTGCTTTGTTTGCTCTTAGCCTCTCATGTATCGGGATATCAAATTATCAATAGCATTATCATAGACATTAAATTGATGCCTTGCTTTTCAAATCCCAGCCTTCCCAACCCTGTAATTATCAAGTAATTTCCTCACTATCTCCTTCGCCACTATTATAGAATCAACTGTTAGTTTCAAAATTAAAGAATTAATATGACAAAGCCATCAAATTTCTGTTTATAAATATATAGAAAAGAAATTTTGCAGGGAATTACCTTCTTTTATGAATTTCTCGTCCCACGGCTTCCATCTCCGTCTTACTTATTGCCACTTGCTTCGCTTCCGCTCTTGCCTTGGCTAACTCATCGTTGACCGCCTTCAATTGCAACGTTAGCTCCTAACGGTCCACCGTAAACTTCTGTACATCAGCCCGTACATGAACCAGCTCCGCTCTCATCGCATCAACGGCACGCGCTTCGGCGTCCATCTTCAGTGACCTCTCGTAGACCTCCCTCACCTCGGCATCCCTCTCGGCTTTGACGTTGAAAGCCGCATCGGATAGGTGGCGGAGCTCTTGCTGGGCGAGGGATAGGTCCTGCTTGAGCACCAAGTGGGTGGCAGCGAGGCCTTGGTTGTCGAGGAGGAGGGATTGGATCTCACGGTGTTGGATTGCTATTCGGTCTTCGAGGTGATGGTGGTGAATGAGGTGGCTCTCGGTAATGGCCCGGGTTAAAGATGACGGCTGTGGACGGCCGGTCATGTTGGTCCGGTGTCGTTTTAATATCTGTTGCAGTCTTCTTTTTGCGCTTTTATTGGTCAAGCTTGTTGTAAGTTGTATATTTCTTTTATCATTTGTTTTTTCCATTTTGTGGGCTTGAGGCCCAAAAAAGTGTATTTATTTTAAACCAATCCCTTACCCGCCAATTTCCTCACCGTTGTGCAAGCTATCCATTTTGTCATTAGATGCGGAGCCGAGCCTAGACTTGCTTTTGATTTGTTTGGCATGGCCTGCATGCTTTGATTATTATTTTATTATTATAGAAATGAGATTATTGTGGCTTAAGGACACACTTATTTTAATTCGTTGGTTGGACTTTGGACAATTTTTTACTCAATAGTGAATACTTGTCTGAGGTTAGAAGGATATATACAACATGTTTCAATATCATGTTCCAACAATCTTTTACGCTAATTTTCTTATGAAGTAGGTAAAACAAATTTAAGTGGATGGTATTTTTGTTGGGTTTGACCTTAATTTGGAATAAATCAAACAAACGGATTCTGTGATACTCCAAAGTTATATTATGCTAAAGAAGTTTAGAGGTCGCTTAATAAGAAAACAAGGTTGGAAAGTTGAAAAAACATGTTAATATATATATATATATATATATATATATTCTCAAAAGTCTTGATCATGTGCTTTCTCCTCTCCTTCAACGAGTTGATGATAGAGTCTTATAAGCATTTTGAATCCGTCCACCACATATGTTTGCGTTGGAAATCCAACACCACTGTTCAAGCAATTGAAAATTTCAGGTCAGTCATTGCCGCTTGAACCCCTCATTTGAGACGTTACCATTGTCAAACATTGCTTCTAGTCTCCACCGTTTTTAGAATATTCATTATTCAAGAGGCGAATCTTCCAAATCACCAAGCTCATTTAATGTCCACATCGGAGCTTGCATGTTTTATTGGCCTCTACGATTGTGAAAAGATGTCTGTTTTTTCCACTACTTTATTCATTAACCTTATTATAATATTACAGTAAAACATGGTTTGGTTTGCAGCCAAGGTTTTCTCCTTTCCCTAGTGCTTAGGGGTTTGAAACTTGGAAGGAAACAAGACAGTGAATACGCGCTTTATGAGGTAATGCAATCAAAGAAATTTCAACAGGGTGGCCTCAATTTTAATGCTATTTCTATTTGGCTCAGATAACAGTAAGACTCGAAATTAAAACAAAAAACGTAAACTCGGTTTGTAAGACAAAGTGCATGTGGCATTACAACCAGCTGTTTTTTCTAGGAACAGAAAATTAGAAGGCGTGGAATCATGTGGAGGACTTTTAATGCAACAGTCCCAAATACGTCTTAGGGTTTCTACAAATTCGCATATTTTTGTTTCAATCTCTCTCCACATGGGTTTCAATTTTGATAATCCTTAAACATTCATGTTGGATCTCATAACTGTTTGAAAATAATCTCTTGCAGTCTTATGGTTTATTTATGTTATCCTTATATATATACATATCTATATATATAATAAATCTAAGGATGCAATTAAATTATTTTTTCTTATTTTTACTCGTCTCTCTCATATCTTTTAAATTTATTAAAATTAAAAGTTAGAAAAATTTTAAAAAAAATTTACATTGTGTAAATTAATCATTCCATTATATATATATATAAACATCAGGTGAGTGGACTTAATATTTCATTAGGAAAAGAATATTTGGTTAATGCAATCAAGAGATGATGGATTAATCATATATTAATCTCATCCACAAGTTTTGAACATAGTTTTGATACGGTTGATAGCATCATGACAGTTCTAATTTAATTTGTTAGGTTAAAAAGCCCAAAATCAATTAAATAATTAAATCAATGGAAGTAAAATCAATAATCAATTAATCACATAAAAAATAGTAATTTAATGTGATTCAGCTCTATATATTGGTCCATATTCATAGATGAAAAGAGAATTTACTAATTATAAAGCCACTAGTTTTAAAAAATTACAAATACATTAATAAATCAATCTCACTCATAATTAATACACATAGACTCTTTCATTCTTTTCTAATCTTATGGAGTATTTTCAATCTAAACAAACATATATATACATGTGACTTGTCATATCTATATAGACCCTTTTAGTTTATTCTAGTCGAATATGATATCTATCTTATAAAACTTTACAACTTTCATACTTATCTCTATAGAAATTTCACTATTTTTAAATATACAAATTTATTTATCAAGAATCTCTTTTGTATTAAAATTTTTGTCTTACAAGTTTTTTTTATCTATAAAAAAAATCTAGCCAATCTAAAAAAAAATTCAAACAAAATCTCTTATATAATTTGAGTCACTATTTTAACATATAAGAGATAAAAATTGTAACTTTTAAAGTATGATAGGCAATAAAAATTGTAAACTTATCCATACATTTTGAATGTGCAATGAAATCTGTAAACTTATGCACATATTTTGAATTTGTAAGGTTACACTTATTATCAGTTTAAAATTTAAACATTGCAACACATTAATAAAACTTTATTATTGTTTTTGGAAAGAAATAGACTTTTGTTTTGAAATTTGAGTTTACTCTTGATATTTGCTCTTTGCAAGGGCGCCTATTAGTTTTTGAATTGATTATTATGAGCCTTCCTTAAAATATGGGTCTTATAACAGATTGGTGAGCGGTACTTTTTAGGATATCAAATTGAGTTTGAGTATAAAATCTTTCGACTTGGTTTGATATAGGATCCTATTTTTGTAATGCACCCAAAAAAAAAAAAAAATCTGCTGTAGAAACTACGATTTTGTAATTATGAATGCTATTCCCTCAAGTTGGTTTCTCCATAAACTCACTATGAATCTGACAGCACCACAAAAATGTAACTAGAACGCATTCTAGAAAGGAAGATGAGGCAACTTCGATGTGTTTTCTCTTTTCTGCAGCATTTGATAATATTTTATACGAATTGAATATTAATTTATATATAACTAGGTTGCTAAACTTTCATTAATGCATGGTTGCCCTTGTCGTGATTCGAAAGGTTAATCAAACGATAAGTGTGTGAGAGAGAATGAGAGATGTTATGTATGTTTCCATGTATATATTTATGTGAATGTCCGCCAACAGACATTCATGTTGAGCCCATTTCTCATGGAGAATCGATCTTGTCTTGCTTTACACTATTTTTGGATTGAGGAGAGGGAAAGAAAAGAAAAAAAAAAGAAAAGTAATGAAAACAAAAAAACTTTTTTTTTGTTTGGATAAACTTTTAATTTAAAAGAAAGAAAAGATGTGTAAACTCAATAACTTTTGATTTCTCTTGTAATTCACATTTTTTTAATACTTTAATTTGGAGAAAAAACTAAGGCAAGGAAAGTTAAAAAAAAATTATTTTTATAAAAAGATTATTATATTTATATTTTTATTATGATATGAGATTTGATTATATAATTGATACTTCTTACAAAAATAATTTTTTATGAGTATTTTATATAATATCACAGTTTATAAATATTTTATGATTTTTTAAGTCTTAACGACAAAACAAGCTAAATTATTATAAAATAAATAAAAAAATTGAATTAAATATAAAATTAAGAGTAAATTAATAACTAACTAATATATCTTACTGTATTAAACATGCTAATTTTGTTTAAAAAATTTGTTTATATAAGTTAAGTAGTATAAAGATATATTTGTATATTATATGTTACTTTATAAGAAAAAAAGTTTATAATTGAAAAAAAAATTATAACAAATTATTTTCTTTCTTTTTCACTATTTATCCAAATAATAGTTATTAAAATTTTTTTCCTTTATTAATTTTAACTTTCCAAACAAGATGTACATGTGCTATTTTCTTTCTTTTAAGAAACTTTCTTTTCTTTCTTTTTTTTTTTTTTATTAATATCTATCTAAATATAATGTTAAGGTTAAAGCTACTTTTACATCTCTCTCAACTCTCACCGTATAGTATTACCCAAAACCCTAATTCTAATCATATATAATCTCAACTCCAATATTTAGTTTTTTTTTTTTTTTTTTGTCTATAGAAGAGCATAATCCTCAGAGGAAAGGGGGATATCTTGATTCAAAATCAAAATTTTATATACTCTTTAAAGCTTTTAGCTTTTAAATTAAATGGCAGAGAATAATATTATAATTAATTTGCTCATACATTGTCAATATATGCAAATTTCAAAATTTTTTGTTTTTTATTAAGTGGTATTTTTTTTCTTTTGATATAATTCTTTAAAATACATCCCAATTAATATCTAGTAATTAATTAATTTTGCCATCTTAGTCGTTCAAGTATAAAATTAGAGAAGAGTCAAACAACAAGAACGTGGGAACTACACAATTGACCCTGCGTGGATGACAACCTACCACGCGCCAAGGCGGTGGTCAACACACATCCATCGTTTTCCATGACATCTTGTTCCACTCTTCCCAGACTGACCTTACTGCCCTTGATAAAATTATTATATTTGTTAAACGGAGACATAAATGTAATTAAAGGATGTATCAACTGTTTGTATAGTTATTATCTATATTTAGCCTCCCTCCATCAATTAGATCCTAATACTTAAAAAACTTTTTTAATAACTATGAAACATGTGGATTCATTCCCCAGCACCCCTTCAACCATTATAAATAGTCATTTTAATCTCCAATCTCTTCGACACTAAGCTTTATTTGTTGTTTGCAATATTTTTTCGTCATCATCAATTTTCTTCCTTTGTGCATCAAAGAAAATCTATCTGTTTCTACCAGATATGGGATGTTCTTCGCCATGCGCATCCTGCAAATTGTTGAGGCGCCGCTGCACCAAGGACTGCATCTTTGCCCCGTACTTCCCTTCTGACGACCCTTACAAGTTTGCTATTGTCCACAAAGTTTTTGGTGCTAGCAATGTCAGCAAAATGTTACAGGTTTCTTAATTTCTATCTCGGTTTCTCCTCATTTTTAATGCGTGCATGTGTTTAGAACTTTGAGCATTGTTTATTATAAATGCATGCTTGATATATGGTTCGAGAAGAGTTTTTTTTTTTTTTTTAAATAAATATCTTCTTGTAAATCTTAATTATAGGAGCTCCCGGTTCATCAGAGAGCGGATGCCGTAAGTAGCTTGGCTTATGAAGCAAATGCAAGAGTGAGGGACCCGGTATATGGATGCGTTGGGGCCATATCCTTCCTTCAAAATCAAGTATCACAGTTGCAAATGCAGCTTGCTGTGGCTCAGAATGAGATACTTTGCATTCAGATGCAACAGGAATCAGCCTGGCCAACTCTAATAGACCATCAGCAAGATGACAAGTCGTTCCTTCTAGCCACTAACAACCTCGATAACATCTCCCAATACCTCAACTTTGCTTCTTCTAGCAATGTAATCCAAGACGCAGCTCTCAAGAGAGAGTCTTTTTGGACTTAAATTTTAATTAGCTGCTTTTCCCTTTTTCAAATGAAAGCGGTACACTTTTTTTTTTCTTTCCTCTCTCATTTTTGTTGGATATCTGTTTGGTTTTTGACTTGGCACCTACAAGAGAGATGAACATGATATTCCACGGTAAATTAACGGGGAAAAAAAGAGAGGAAACCTCATTATTAAGGCGATACATATTAATCTTGAGTTGTAGAAAGGGAAGAAGTTTGATGGGGTCAAACTCTGCATGTGAGGTACCAAGAATATTAGGGTTTAGACTTTGGAAATTAAGCTTCTATTTCTTGAGAAAGACGCTACAAGTAATGACCATCTGTTTCTTCAACCAAAAGGAAGTTAAATCCTGTCTCCTTTGCCTACTTAATTCTGATATCCTAATTGATCTCTATATAAAACTTAGACTGATGTCACGTAGCAGGGTCGTAAATTATTGCTACTTTCTAAATCATGACCTGCAGTATTAGCACATTGTTTTAGCAGCTTAAAATAAATTAGGTTTCAAGGGTAGACCATTTCAACGAAAACAGGCCATCCCATCGGACTGGGAAGTCACAGTTGTGTTGTGTTCTATGTCAGCCTTGTGTTACTTGTAACACCAAATAATTTCTTTGATAAAAGAATAATTAACCTACGCATCTTAGCAGTGTTGTTGTTAACATGGCCTTTTCGGGGTTGATTGAGCATTTGCCTTTGCTTTTCCGTGGTGACCTTAAAGCTAAATATTAACATACTGACAATATTAATCCTAATTTTCTCCCAATTGAGTCATAGCAGGAAATTCATAACCATATGGATGGAAAAGGTCTAACAATAATTAATTCAGAATTTGATGAGTAAATTTATCAATAAGGAAATTTGAAGATCACCAAATCTTTAGAATTTATATTAAAGATTTATATTTAATACATTATCAATATATAAATTTTATTATTATCAGTAAATTAGATGATATAACTTTATTAATAAGATGAATCAAATGATGACACATCATCAAAAAATAAATTTTTATATATTTATTATAAGAATTAATATTTATTTATTAATAAAGTGATATTATTCGATTCATTGATAATATATAAAATTTATATATTAATAATGTATCAAATATAAATTTATATATTAAATGTTTCATTTTAATTTATTGATGAGAACAATATTTGATTCTAAATTAATAGTATCAATAATATCCCTAATTAATTATAAAAACATATAGCTAAGAGGCATTGAAAAGTCTAAATAACCTATACTCATCATTCTTGCCCTTTGTTGATTTTTGAAGAATCCAATCGTCCTCATCCCACTGTTGTACTCTACTACCACTTTACTTGTCTGCGACCGACAGAGTCCAATAAATGTGCGCGTCCGACAGCTGTTGTTGTGGCCTTGTAATATAAGAGCTCCCATCCTTTTTCCCTCAGATAATTAGCATATTTATAGTATATATTACGAGGAGATTGAAAAAGAAACCGAAAAAGATATACTAGTCCTAGTACAGAAAATAACTACTCAAAAATAGGCCCAGCTGATAGGCACCCAAGCAAGAGCACAGTGATTTTTTTTTTTTTATAATAACCAATCAAAAATTTTTTTTCCATTTCTTCTTTTTCATTGACTGTATTAATCCAAATCTTCATGCAACAGTTTCTTCTTGATTGTCTCGGTTATCTTATTAAGGGGATGGCTGACCTGCAAAGATAACGTCTTTTACCAATGAATCTTCTTCTTCTCAATTGGATCTAAATCTAATTATCATATGAAAGTGCCGTGGAAAGAAACTTTCCTTTGATCACGTGATTCTTGATATGGACAGTATATTTGTTTCTTCTTTTCCATAGGAGAGAGGAGAGATGTTCATAGCCATATATATATATATATATATATATATTTCAATTTTCAATATTTGAACAATTAAAAGTGGTCCAAATTCACATGCAGCAAAAAGGTTCTAACTACTTCCAAGTTGGAACCCAGTAGCCAATCAGGATAACGTATAGAATGAATCGGCCATTAGCATGAGGATAAGGTGCCATGTAGGATAAAAAAAAACGCATTAATGAAAGAAAGTGGATATATCCATTTTCAACTCTCTCATCCGTTAAAGTTGAAATTGCCATGCAATGCAACAACAGTGTATAAAGAGAGTAAAATTATAAGAGAGGCAAAAGCGAGCTAGATATTAGATAAGATGGGGTACAATTCATTCTTAAGGAGCCCAAAGAAGGAAGAACAACAAGTTCCAGATGCCACAGTCAATGAATTCAACGACACCAAAGAAAGCTACGGACATGGAGAGATTGATATTATGGATGAACTAGAAGGTATTTTGGGTATTGAAAATGAAGAAAAATTAGCAGGAAATAATATAAATGGTCGACTCAGTTGGGACTTCATGGACTGGGAAGGCGGAGAAGAAGAAGATGAAGAGGACGAAAGAGACAAGAAAGTTTATACAGGCAAATTCTTCTTCAAAGAAGAAAGTGAATATGGCAAAGTTGTAAAGAAAGAAAATCTTGGTTTCTGGGAAGATGATGAGAAGAGGGTTTCTTTGAACTTGAATTTGAATTATCAAGATGTCTTGGAAGCATGGTCGGATCGTGGGCCTCCTTGGGCTGATGATTATTCGATTTCAATGGCGAGCAATGGCTACTATGTTAGTATTCAACCAACTTATACTCCTTTTCTTCTACTTTTTGTTTCTGTTTCTTATTGCATTTTCAAGAAGAAATTTAATGTTAAGTGTCACTTATATGTTTCCCTTCTGTTTCTATTATGGAAAATTACATTCTGTACAGATGTTGAGAGGTTGCCTATATCTAACTAGGAAGAGAAAATTAACAGAGGATTCTTCGTTTTAGCTTAGAATTGATCTGTAAAAGAACTTCATTTAATTTTGAATTCTGATGATGATAAGCATAATTTATTATACAAATCCTTCTTTTTTTCTAATTAAACTCGGTCTTAATCTTCCAATTTTTGAGAAGACGGGATTCAATCCCTCAAGGATAAGATTTTGTTGAAGTGATTATTAACTAGTGAATAATCATAAGAAAATAGTCTTATTATAATTAGTTGCAACTGTTGATATATACTTTAGTTTAAAATTGAAATTTCTGTGTAGATGGGAGAGGTGCCTGTGATGGAAGAAGAAAGAACAAGAAGGGAAGCAAGTGTTCTCAGATACAAAGAGAAGCGTCAAACTAGATTGTTCTCCAAGAAGATAAGGTATCAAGTCCGCAAACTCAATGCAGATAAAAGACCAAGGCTCAAGGTTAATTTGTCCTCATCAATCATCTTTTTCTCTTTCTCTATACGTATATGTATTCAAAATTTAGATATTAAGAAAGATATTTTTTTTGTTGCTACAGGGCAGGTTTGTGAAGAGAGTTTCCTAGGAAGATCATAACCCAGAACGATCTTTCAAATATCTCATAAAATATCTTTTACTCCGTCAACTTTTTCATGCATTATATATGCTTTACCGTCATGTTTGTCTCAATGAAAAATATCTTTTCCAACTCTCGCCCACATATATATGTGAAATATCTTTTCATCCCAAACTTTCTGCACTTCCGAATGGAGCTTTCTATCGTGGACCTAACCTCTATAATGCAGATAATTGACCAGACTATTCATGCCCAAGATTGGTCTATTTCTGGCACTTGTGATGGACTGCATCAACGACAATTCACCAAGGCCTGGCAATGTTTTTTATTGTATATATTATTTTATATATAAATCAAAACGTCAAATGTCAGTGAATTATTTGGCAGGGAAATGCATCAAATATTGTGGGAACTGGGGACTAAACTACTGAACCGTACAGTGGTCCTTTTGTATGTTCATGAGTTGATTTCTCTCATTTTCCTCTTTACTCTATTGTTTTATTGGTGGGGGGCTTTTTTGAGCTTTTCCTCTTTATGGGTCTCGTTTATGTCTACTGTCATTAATTTTCTGACGAGAGGCCCATCCACCAGAAATGTTTCAGAAGGAGAAGGCCATTGATTTGGAGGGTGCTCCATTTAATAAAAAACTTAATTAGTCAAGAAATATCATCTCTTTAACTTTCTCAAACTGTGAAATTATAATTTATTTGTAAACTGCAGACTTTTAATTGTAGTTTTTAAGTAAGAATCCGAAGTTCATGCTAACTCGTAGCCGAAGCATTTAGCCTTGTAAATAACAAGAGAAGTTATTCCTATTCCTCCAGCATTCTTTTCCTACTTTCAATTCCCAAAAAAAAAAAAAGTACCTGGGATCAGAAATTCATTATTTACTTATAAATTTTGTAATGATCGTCTAATTTAGAGCTGAGAGAAAGGCTTGAGACTTTACTTTTTTTTTTTTTGTGAAATTATATGGACTTGAGACTTAGAATGTAAAGGAAACAATAATTATAAGCATACCAAGGTAAATAGAATTAGATATTTCCAAGCATATATAATTAGCCTTTTATATTTCAAAGCAAATGTGATTACAAGCTGATGAAAGCCTTACGTAATGTAATTGAATTGATATTGCCACACAACTACCTCGTTAATCCTGCATTAGCTGACATTGACAAATAGTGGGAAAACATTTTCTATCCCTATATAGCTATTATATTATAATAATTAAACACAGCCCAAAGCACCTTTGACAACCACCAAAATTTTGGTAAATCAATGCTTATTTTTTGAAAAAATTTGAGTAATCCTATTGACTTTTTTTCTTTTTCTCCTACAATTAGTTTAGGTGGCCCTCGCTGAGTAAAGGTCAAGGAGTGGGATCATTGTAATGGCCCATTTACTTTCCTTTAGGCCCACGACATGAAATTTCTTGGCAACATCTGTTTTTGGACTGTTTTGGTTACATTAATTAATAGTAGTAACGGACTGTTCTGAAATTTTTTCTTAAAGGAAAAAAATAGCAATAACACCATTTGGAGTCATATCCCAAAGTTTTAACTACTTATGTTATTTCAACCTTCATCCATTACAATTTAGTGGTCTTGATTGAGCTGGTCAGTGTCAGAAGATGCTGTTTATGAGAAAAGTCCAGATTTATCAGACTCATTAATTTTGGGCCAGTTTAAGGCATTCACTTTTCAACTAAAAAGGCCTGAAGCGAAATGAAAAACTTTATTAAATCCGCAAATTCACACTAGTGCACTAGGAAGTTTGCATTCAGCTATGAGTGCCCAATTGGATGAGATTGCAGCTGGGTGTGCTTTAGCGGTGTTAGGTACTTTTAGGTTGCACGTAAGGTGACTCCTCGTTTCAAAGATGAATGTGGTGAAATGGGTTTAATAGTGCCTTGGTGTGACCAATGGAGATGTTGTCTCATCCTTCCATCCCCCGTGGGGAGGGGGGGTTTAATCACAGTATGGATGGAACTCCACTTCAGAAGCCATTTTTGCCTATGTTCCTATGCTTACTTTTCCCATTTATTGGGATCAAACTCCAAAGAGTAAGCAAATTTTAGAAGATTAAGTGGAGGGTGAAGAGTCATTTGGAAGCAGAAAGTCTGGTGCCAAGAGATAGTGTTTGGTTAAAATGACACTAGATTCTGATATTTTCTTCTGCCAAAACAAAAAAAAAAAGCAGTGGAATTTTCATGCTTTGGCCTTATTTGTGGCACTGGCAGGCTACTAGTGGCTTCATGTTTCCAAGAGATTCGCCTTCAGTGTCAAACAAGTTTAAAATTGAATTAAGTCACAAAAACTGGTCTAAGTTTGAATGAATAGAGAATTGTCTGTCAAAGAAGATTAAAAAAAAAAACCCTGAATTGCATCCTTTTAATCACCTGAGACATTGTCCTTCATCTAACTTCCTATGGCAAAACACCGAGTTTGCATAGCCATTTAGGCAACTTGGACGCTAATATTGAAATAATAAAGACCATGACATATTGAATGAGGTTTAGAATGGAATAAGATTGCAACATAAATATCAAATCATAACTTATATGTGCATAGCTGAAAGCTAATTCATTTTGCCTCACGTTCAGTGTCTTTTCAGTTAAAACTCTAGGATATAATTCTTAGTTGTTTTTGCCTTACCAAGCCAGATATTTGCCACTTACAGATATAAATGGACGTAAGTTGCTCTTACCTGCATCTTTTTTTTGGGGGTGCATATTACAGCAGGGAAATGAGCGTTTGGATTACATTCCTGGATTCACTCCTATACGTCCAGCAGATCTGACAACAATTTTCTATGGAAAGGGCCTCCAACCTTGCACCTTTGGCCCTGGATTGTGTTTCATCAGTGCCCAAAGCACAGTATGTTCTTCTCTTTACCACTGTCTACGAACTTGAATTCCAAGTCATTGATGCACTTAAGGCAAAGTTACCTTTTCATATCTATGAATACAATTGGCCCTAGCATACCAGTGGTCTAGTGGTAGAATAGTACCCTGCCGGCTGGTGCATTTCATTTTCTCTTTTTTTAATTCCCAATATATACTGCATTTAAAAAAAAAAAGATTTATTTGGTAAATACTTTTTATTTACGGCCTGTCTTTTTGAATCTCTGTATTCGCTTCACAATAACAATGAACGCCATGTCCACCTCTCCAACCGATCTTATCAAAGGTAATACTTTTTAACTTTTTTGTACAATTTTTTTAATGTTGTGTAAAATCTTCCAAATTTCAAAATGGTTTAATGTTGCTTAAGGGTCAAAGCATATGGGAGATACCAATCACACAAAGTTCCAGCTGGAGCATGAAGAAGCTGCTCCAAATGAGGAGCGCTGTCAAAACTCCATATGGGTGTGACCATCGAAGTAGTGGACCATTGGTCACAAAATGTCTAAACTCCAAATATAAACGACACTGTTTGCTCTTTCTTAACATGATCGATCATCGGCACTTAGCAACAATGACAAAGAAAGCCTTTCCCGGGTAACATTGCTAAATCTAGAAAGTCGCTGTCACCAATCAAAATTCAGTATGCAAATTGAAAGCCTATAGAAAACCAAAACGTTCAAATTGTCCGTTCATTTAAGGGAATCTAAATACACATTTAATTATGTCAATTCAATAAATAAATATATAAAAATGATCGGAGTTGGAGAATAAAGAACGTTCATTTCGTTTTATTCTGATAATGCTTTTCCCGAGCAAGCTCAAACTCAATCAACCCAAGCAGCCCGACTAAAGCCTGCTAAAGCAATGCCGTCCGTCCAAATTTGGATAACAACTTACAAACCCATCTGAACAACTTCAGGGGCTTATTTCCTCTTAAGAACAATGGGCCATTGGCCAAGCTTTCGACTGCCCTTTTCTGTTCCACTTGCCCGTCGGTTCATCACCAACCTCAATTTCAGTATCCATCTTCCATTTCCACCATGGCAAAAAGGCAAAATTTTCCAATGGGAAATATTTAGAAGATAGAAACAACATGCCTCCCACCCAAGTCAATTTCAAACTAACCATCAACCTATGTCGCATCTTCTTTTTGTTGTTCCTAAACAAAAGAAGAATCGTGAAGATTACCTTATCTCTAATTGTATAGAATCAAATCAGCATTATAGATACGGTCTAAGATCCTTGTTTCAAATCAATTTTGCAGGGTATGCAATTGTAGGGTCTCAACTTATTCGATTGTAGAAATTTTCTACTCTAAAAGGAGATTCTACTGATGTCCTTTGATCTATTGTTTTATATATATATTCTGTCTTCGTTTATTATAGCAATGATTCTTGTGTATAAAAGCTAGAACTGATTTCCATTTCTTATTAAACAAAAAAGAAGAAGGAAAGTTATATATACTTGGGGAGGGTGATATCCATAATATCTAATCTCTCTGAAAATAAAAAGGAAGTCACTAGATCAAACGGTTGTGGACCATTTTGATAGTTTGGGAATTGAGAAAAGTGGGGTATAGTCTCTTGTTTTATCTAATAAGCATACTATACTATATGTTCAATTGCCCACATATTTGTTTTTTGAGAATTTTTTTGGTATTGTTTCATAATTATTGGAAATATTTAGATCAAGATACAATACTTTGTTCTCCTTAAAACAATAAATAAATGTTGCTTCAAAAAAATATAAATAAATGTAAATGAAAAAAGATTATCATTCATGAATGCCTCTTTTTTTTTTTTTTTTTTTTTTTCTGAAATCGACTATTCTTAGTCATTAGAATATACACATCACTAGTTTATGAAAACAATAAAAATTCTTCCTTGTGCAAATAGGTTTTATTAAGCGAACCAGGTCTTGATTAAATGTTCTCATCTCATCAAATTTAAATTTTGATGAAGAAAGAGTGATAGTAGTACTGTATATATAATAAAGGAGCTTCAAAGTTCAAAGTTTTCATTTTTTTTTTGTTGCCATATCGTCTGGGTATGTCTGGTTGGTTTCCTCCTTAATTCTTCCTCCATAACAAACAAGAGTCGGACTACTACAAGAATCTATCCTATCCTGCATTAAGAAGAAGAGAAACCCTTGTGGTGGTAGGTAAAGCACATAGAACGGAAAATGGGGTTGGGACATGGTTATAGGGAGAGAGGGCCGTGTTTGAGGAGTGAAACCTCTGGCTCCACGTGTAAATGTAGTTATGAATAACCTGATGTGACAATAAATAAAATTTTGCTCTCCAAATGATGGGTACTTGCTGGGCGTGCCGGCAGGCTAAGCTCGATGCCTCATCACTGGGCCCCCTGTTACCTATTTAACTTGCTGAGAAATGCCCATTGGGCTTTGCTGGCTCTCCTACCTAGCTTACTATTACCATTCACTCGTTCACATTTTTCTTTCTTACTTTCTTTCTTGCTTGTAATTATTTGACATAATTTCGATTAAAAAAACACCCAATCGTAATAATCTTTTTCTTCTTTCCTAGCAAATGTTGTT